GTTCTGGAGAACTCAAAATTTTGCACACTATTTTGTGACCTTTCAGTTGGCCTAATAATTGTATTATTTTAATATGTAATTTGGAGTATATAAATTCTTATAGATGAAGAGAAGAATATATTTCACTCAGTGGCTAGAATAAATAAGGAAGACAAACCTTGTAGTCCATCTTTGGAAAAATCTTATCTAGAATATTAAATTTTGAGTTTAGGAAAACGCACATACACAAATTGCATACTATTGCTTTTCTTCTTAACTTCAAGGAGATCTCAGCTTGTTAAGCTGTATCTGACAGAATCTTTACATAAGCATAGTACACAACCTCACCCCCAGTATTTAATGACTTGATGGGAAATGTGTGGTCAGATGTGGTCCTTCAAATGAGACTCCCACCATCCCCTCTCGTTTGCTAAATAAAGGAGGAGGGGATTCCTATCAATGAGTTTGAATATCCAGGAACCTTTTTCACATTTTCCAAAATCTGAGACCTTAACACCCCAAATTAAGACATACTTTTTGCAGCACAATTCACAGCAGGAAAACAAAAGACTGAATCCACCAAGGACCCTACACCCCATCAGTTTCTCCACTCCCCAGCAATTCTCTTGTGTTAAGTGATGGCTACTACCAATCCTAGTGTGGAGGCAAAATGCAACAGAGCTTTCATGCTCCCTACAGGAAGCCCGAGAATGAGCTAGAACACTTATTTCTGTAAGGAGGCGTGTCAGCAGCACTCCCCGTGCAAGCCCCACCAGCTTGCCTCCTTCCTTCCAAAATGAGCATTTCCACTCAATTCAGGTAACCACAGATCACTCCTACACAAGTGGTGGAAGTACTTGACATGGAAAGGGTCCCGTGTAAGAACCTGCAGGGGCTCAAATCCAGAATTTCTAGAATGTGAGTAGAAGAGTTAAATATTCGTGAAACATCTAGTTTTTCAAGTATGTCTAAAATAATACAAATTGCAAAGCCATTACAACTAATCAAAAACTGTGCGATAAGGCCACTACTCATTTAAAATGATTAAAAAGTTGCATTGTAAATATAACAATACAGTGTTTACAGTTGAGAATATCTCCATTTCCGTCTCCCTAATTGAAGAGTCTCATGCAATTTGAAATCTTGCATTATTCATCTTGTAGTTTTCCTGTTTTTATTCCCTTATGCTGGAGAGTTTTTCAGACAGTAAAAGGTGATATGTAAAAAGGTGATAAGTATCTGCACTTATCCCAGCATTTCCTTTGATAAATCAGTTGTTGTTGTTAGTTGTGAAGTCATGACTGACCCATTGCAACCCCATGGGGTTTTTAAATGGTTAAAAATCTTGAAAAAATCTTTGAGGTAACAGTGAGGCAGAAAAGAAAATGTATACACACTATAGAAAATGAAGTCTTGAGAAGTCTTTATTTATTTAAAATATTTCTTCCCTGTCCTACATGAAAAAATGTCCCAAAACGCTTACAGTGATCAAGACAATAAAAATTACAATAACAATAATATATTTAAGACAATTATAACTACAGTAATGATAATTACAATACAAACAGTAATAATTACAATAAATAACAAACAATAAATAACTTTCATAACTCCAACAAAAACAATATGTGACTGTTGATGTTAAAAACCATTTAAAATCCCTTAAAATGATGGGTGAATAAAAAGGTTTTTACCTGGTGCTGAAAAGAGTATAAAGTCGGCACCAGGTGGTCCTCTCTGGGGAGCGCATTCCACAATCTGGATGCCACCACAGAGAAGGCCTCCCTCCAGGCAGACACCCTCTTTAGCTCCTTCAGGGAGGGTTCCTGGAGCAAAGCTTCTCCTGCCCTCTTAAGGGCACAAGGGCATATAAGGAAGGAGACATGGACCTGGTCCGAAGCCGTTTAGGGCCTTATAGGTTATAAAGGTTTATAAACTTTATTGGTTTATAAGTGTAAGTTTCTTCCTTTTCTTAAAACGCTTTCACAGCTCTCAATATCTGGCTCAACCATCAATTCCAATTGAGACCGCAGCCACGAAATTACAAGACTGAGGCTTGGAAAGGCACCAATGAAGGATGCCTCTAGGGAGATCATGGTCTGCCATGAAATGCCTTTACAGTTCAAGGCCAAGATTGTCCACACTATTGTCTTCCTGAATACTATATATTGGTGTGAAAGCTGGGCATGCAGAAAGCTGACAGGAAGAAAACAGATGTGTTCAAACATAGTGGGAGGGCTGCAGCTCATGTTAGTGCTCATTATTATGCTAGATGGGCAAAATGTACGCCATGGAATTAGGCAGCTCCTTACTACAGAGCCACAAAGGCTCATAAGGAAAGTCATTGGGTACAGTGGAGTTTATTCCCAGGTGTGTCCCCACAAGCTTTTAGCCCAGCCTGTATTTATTTGAAGTGTTTATATTCTATATTTCCACTTACCAAAGTGGCACTCAAGGTGACTAACACCATTCAGAACCCAATCGACAATCAATCAAAGCCAAAGCCAAATTACAGAAATCTTTTAGCAGATAGAACAGAATCAGCATAAAATATCAAATATGAATGGAAAGACCAAATACAGAAAACAGATGTGTTCACACATAGTGCTGGAGGAAAGCTTTGTGAATACTCTGGACTCACAGAAAGATGAACAACAAGTTCCTAGATCCAATTAGCTATGCCATGGAGTACCACAGGGCTCCATTCTATCCCCTCTGCTATTTAACATCTATATGAAACCGCTGGGAGAGGTCATCAGGAGGTGTGGGCTGCGGAATCATCAATACGCTGATGATACCCAGCTTTACCTCTCGTTTTCCACTAATCCAGGTGAGGCAGTGGCTGTGCTGAACCGGTGCTTGGCTGAGGTAAGGGAATGGATGAGGGCAAATAAACTGAAACTCAACCCAGACAAGACGGAGGTCCTGTTGGTTGGCGGATTGGGTTTCGGAGAGGGTGGATTTGACCTGGTCCTGAATGGTGCAACACTCCCTCTTAGGGATAAGGTCCGCAGCCTAGGAGTACTCCTTGACCCAGAGCTTTCTTTGGAAGCTCAGGTGACAGCGGTGGCGAGGAACGCCTTCCTTCAGCTTCGGCTGATTAATCAGCTGCGCCCCTACCTGGAGTACGACTGCCTGGCGACGGTGACACACGCGCTGGTGACTTCCCGCCTAGACTTCTGTAATGCGCTTTGGGGGGGCTTCCCCTGAAGACAGTCCGAACACTTCAATTGGTGCAAAATAGAGCTGCCAGGTTGCTGACGGGGACGGGGCGTTATGCTCACATGACTCCAGTCCTCCGTCAGCTTCACTGGCTTCCCATTGAAGCCCGGGCCCAATTCAAGGTGTTGATTATGACCTACAAAGCCCTAAACGGCTTGGGTCCTGGCTACCTGAACGAGCGCTTACGTCCATATATGCCCGACCGCCCTTTGAGATCTGCGGGAGAGTCCCTTCTCCGGGAACCCTCCATGAAAGAAATTAGGAGAGTAAGTACTCGGAAGAGGGCTTTCTCTGCGGTGGCACCCAACCTATGGAATTCACTCCCCAAAGAGGTCCGCCTGGCACCGTCGTTACTGGTTTTTCGGCGCCAGGTAAAGACCTTTTTATTTAAACATCATTTGAATTGTTAAAACATATGATCTGGCCAGGGCAACTTCTTCTTCCTTCTCTTTCTCCTCCTATATTTTTATTTACTTAATTTATACTGATAATTTTAATCTTATATTTGTAAATCAATGTATTTTTTGTATTTTGTATTTAATGGTAATTTATTATGTGCTATTGTATTTCATTGTATTTTATCGTGTTGTAAGCCGCCCCGAGGTTTCGGCAAGGGGCGGCATAGAAATGTTATAATAATAATAATAATAATAATAATAAAAAAAAAAAAACCAGAACTTTCCCTAGAAACAAAAATAACAAGACAGATGCTGTCATACTTTAGGCACATCATGAGAAGGGAAAGTTTCACCAGGTAGGACTACAATGCTAGGGAAAGTCAAACACAGAATAAGATGAAGACGACCCAATGGAGAAATTTATTTATAACATTTTTATGCCGTCCCCATCGCAGAAAGCCTCGGGGCGGCTTACAAGGAAGAATAAACAAACATCAAATAACATTAAAAATTTTGGAGCATCTCGGCAATAATTTAAAACCAATAAATTAAAAACAGTAATTAACATTTAAAATATTGTTTAAATATTGTTTAAATAAAAAGGTCTTCCTTAGGCCTTTCATAATTCCATAAAACAAGCTACAGCCCTGTGTTTCCAATAACTGAAAAGGTTGGTGAGGACAGAGGGGCATTCACGCATAGAGTTGTTAGAAGTCAGAGACAACTTAATGGCATGAAACAAGAACCAAGACTAACTTTGTATCTACCAAATATGTCACCATACTTTAGTATCTGTTTGTTGCTCCTTTCATTTCTTATTTCATTCTGCTACACTTCTCACTTTCCCCTCATTATGGCTTTTACCACGTCCTCTCCTTCCTATGGACTCATTCATAAATTTACCGGAACAATTTCCTTCATGTCTGCAACATGCATACCATTTGTGTACAGTTTTGCCTCTCAACAAATGGGAAAGGATTTCACAAACATACAGCATGCAGCCAATATCAAATATCAATGTGCGCAAAGTGCAAACATGGATTCTTTTCTCTCTGTTCCCTGAACCTTTATAGATTGCTTGCTTCAGTAAGTGTGTCAGTTGCTTTGCTAGTTTATAATAACTATTGTAGTATTCAGCATGCTGATAAGTCAAGAAGGAACAAAACAAAAACCAAAAACCACAGTTAACTTAGGACCTATATTCACTGAGGTGGGCTCTACAACCATTTGTAGTTTATTTTGTTCTGTATTTTCCCATAACAGCCAGTAGCATTTCTAAACTGTTTGTGATAAATAGCTCCAGATGCTTTTAAATTAGAAGGACATTTTAGCTAAGGCTCTTCAGAGAGCAGTAAAAAAGAACTACATTTTACTTATTTGTCCTGTCGCTACTTCTTCCAGATGGCCTCATCAACATCTGCTGCAACTGAGACATTTTACTGCAATAAAGATTAAATAGCTGTGTTGAATGGCCATTCTCTGAAGGTTCAAGGCTCCTGCATTTCTGGTAAGTATTAAGTGAAATTTGGCAAATGTGCTTGTTTAAGGGTGTGCTTAAATTGTTGTCTGTGCAGCAATTTGCCCATTAAAATTTTTCACATAATTAATTTGCTGCTATCGGGTGTAACAGTTCTAGTAATGATGTGTCACTTATCTTTCAAAACCTGAGGAAGGAAAATAGAACATCATATTGTTAGAGTGCCTAAATGTTTCCTATGTTGAAATATTTATTAAGTGGGAGATTTTAAACAGAATCCAATGCTGTAACCCTATGCATTCTTTCATGGGAATAAGCCCCACTGTATCCCTTAGAACTGATTTCTTAAGGCTTAATTTTTAACCTATGTTCAAGATGTATCTAGCAGTTATGTATTTTCTTCTTTTTGCTACATAGTTGCAGCTGATAGTCCAATTTTTATTTTTCCCTTTAGTGAATAGGTGAAGTTTATTTTATTTTTTTTATTTCAGCCCTGATTTTACTGTTATTTCCTGCCCACACCCATGGCTACACAGCTAGAAAAAAGTAATTTCATTATATGATAGGGTTGCAGGTATTAAAATCTAAGCTTCCTATCTAACAGTTAAGAGGGGAAGTAAAATCTATCATGTGATTGTATCTACACTCTTTTTTTTGTGATAGAATCTACACTCCTTCACTCTGTAGTTCAGCACATCAAATCACCAAATATAGAATGGTGCACTCTTTCCATTTTTATTCCTCTTCTCTGATGCTGGCACCTCTTCTTTATGACTTTGATTCTCAGCTTTGCTTGTTCTCCTGAGTTCAGTTATACTCATCCTTGGAGATTTTAACATTCAGACTGATAGGACTTCTGATTCCTTTCCTTTCATTTTCTCTTTTGTGCTACTTCCTTGGATCTTAATTTTTCACTTCATAACTGTCACTCATCATTCAGGTCATGTTCTCTCTGTTCACTTCAACATTGTTCTTACACCAAGCCTTCCATTCTGTCCCTCAAAAGAATTGCTGAAACTCTTGCAACTTTTTTCATTGAAAAGAAATCACCCTTTAATCCTCTAGTCTCATTTCTTCTTTAGTTATGTTTGACATATGATTGAGAATTTTGTCTTGGTACTGCCTGTTACTTTTCTCTTCTCATGATTCCCCTGTGTATTGGAATGCAGGAACAGAAAATATTAATTCTGACCCATTAAGAGTAATCCATGTCTACATTTCCACCCTCAGATTAGCTGTCCTGACAGCATTAACTAGCAATGGTGTTAATTTAACTGCTGGTCTTACCAGCTGAAACAGTGTGGCTAAGGCTGCAATCAAATGCCTTCTGCTCTGGCTTCATGTGAGTCTCCAAACTCTGAAATGTATGTGCATCCAGTGGACGGAGCAAGGGACAGTGGTAGCAAGGCTCGCTGCTGTAGCGCCTCTTCTCCTGCATTTCATCTAGATAGGCATTTTCCAAGTCGCAGTCCTGGGACTGGCAGGTGGCACAGTTTTCTTTGCACCCCCTGCCAGTGGGGGTGGGGCACAGGCTTGGTGGTTGGAGCTCCATCTCAGTGGTTGATAACCTGGGGCTCTGAACATGCCTGTGCTCTCACCATGACATTTTAGGACAATTACACTTTGAGAGGCTTAGAAGATGAGATACTCTGTGGTTCAATACTTATTTCTATAATGAGCTTACTAGAAGGTCTTAAGCAAGCTATTGACTGGGTTTGCCTAACATGATGCATCTCATTGTGGCATCTTTAAGTCACAATGAGGCACAGTGCCTGTGGTACCACCCTGAATGTTCAGTGCCTGGCCATGAACAACATCATGCAACACTGAAAATCCCCTTATTTCCAGCCAAAAGGATTCTGCAGTGTTTTTGTTCTGATAAGCAGCAATAGACCGCAGTTGAGTTTTCCTTAAAACTGGAAATATTTTGTTCATATATGGGTTGTGTCACTTGTGCAAATAATGTACACACTGAATTAAAAAAAACATGGGGGAATCTTGAAATTTGTGCAACTGGTAGCATGAAAATCTCTGTCATATGTTTGTAGTATAGTCTTGTCAATTACTATGTATGTTTCAACTGCCAAAAGGAGCAACTAAGCCAGATAGGTAACATATAGGGAAATTGAGAGAAGAAGACTACATATAGGATAATTTGTGCATAGTTGTGATGGAGATGGGAGAAAACAATAGTAATACAAAGGAAAAACCCCATCGAAGCAATTGTTGTTGTTAGCCGTGAAGTTGTGTCGGACCCATCGCGACCCCATGGACAACATTCCTCCAGGCCTTCCTGTCCTCCACCATCCCCTGGAGCCCACTTAAGCTCATGCCGACTGCTTCAGTGACTCCATCTAGTCACCTCATCCTCTGCTGTCCCCTTCTTTTGCCTTCATTTGTTCCCAGCATTAGGCTCTTCTCCAGTGAGTCCTTCCTTCTCATTAGGTGGCCAAAGTATTTGAGTTTCATCTTCAGTATCTGGCCGTTAAAGAGCAGTCAGGGTTGCTCTCCTCTAGGACTGACTGGTTTGGTCACCTTGCAGTCCAAGGGACTCGCAGGGGTCTTCTCCAGCACTACAATTCAACGGCTCAATTCTTCAGTGCTCAGCCTTCCTTATGGTCCAACTTTCACAGCCATACATTGCAACATCTAAGCAATGCAGAAGCACTAAAAAGGAGGAGGAATAAAAAGGAGTAGAAATATCTCCCATTTGGCAATGTTATCCTCTTGTTTTCAGGTGCTGAGCTGAAGCTTGTCAGTGTTGTCCTCTTGTTCAGTGTATCTCCAGCAGGTCCAGAAAGAGAAGCTATTGACGCCCCCCCCCCCACCTTTTTGCAGTTCTTCTGGAGTAGTCACTACTTCTGTGTAAATTCCCCCTCCTATACTGTCCAGTCCCTAAATTTGCACCATTAAATGCTTATTTATTTATTTAAAACTTTTATACTCTGTCCACCACTTTGACTATATTCCATACAGAGATTCATACAGGATTCCATATAGTAGCTCAAAGATGCATAGCCTTTTCAATCTTAATTATCTTATTTGGTTTCAATTGGTTACCAGGGGCCACACACATATACATGGAGCTCTACATACACAGGGGTGTGAGGCAGGAGCTTTAATCTTGCTCCCATCGATCCTGCAGTAAAAACACTAGGTATGTTTATAACCAATATTTTTTCTATCCCACTCAACCTGCATTTAACTTTAATCAGGTGATCATTTTGGTTCTTTAATGTTAGGTATCTCATCTACTCTTCTCATTTCTAAAATTTTAGTATATCTCAGTGTATAATTTATATCCTGCCTCCTTTTCTGTAATCAGTATTTCTTTTAATGCATGCACTACACATGTTCCCCTTCCTTGCTCCATTGCTTTCTTTCCCTTATTTTTAAGAGTGTGCAAAGTCATGCTTCACTCTGTACCCTGGTGACCACAGAGGGTGTGAGCAGCAGGTGCCAAGGAGAGGGGTCAGTCTGTTGGACTGTCCTTGAGACAATCATCTGGGTGTTGCCCTTGGAAGGCTCTGTGGCTCCTGCAAGACTTCCTAGAGTTTCTACAGAAGCTACATAACTAGGAAGTGACCCAAGGAGCAGCTGAGCCACAGAAGGTAGGTGGGGATGTTCCTTTGTCAGCATTTTAGCATTTCAAAGCAATTGTCCTTGGTTTGTTTTTCCCCATTTCATGGGTGGTGACAGAGATGCCTTGTTTTTTTCAGCAGAGCCTAAGTATCTTCAAGAGACTGGCAGACAGGGGTTTGGGAGCAGTGTCTCTGATTTTTCCCTCCTCCATTAGACCTTAAGGACCTTTAGTCCTTAAAAAGGGACTAAATATAGGAATAAGTATATGGAATAAGAGTCCAGGTGTCTAATAAGTTGGCCTGGACCAGTGTGTGCATGTCTTACATTGCTAGGAATGTAGTATCAACAGAAAAACGATTGGGTGGTTGCCACTTTCAAGCGGGAGGTAATCCATATCTCACTTCTGCATGAGAAAGTACTAGGACGCATGTTTGATACATCACTTTTTTGTCCTAAGTTTTTGTTTGGCATTACTCTAGGCAAGTTTAAGGTTTGCCAAATCTGATGTCAGCTACGCCATTTTAGTGTCTCCTTATACCTGTGGATTTTTAGTTACCATAGTTAAAGACTTTGATAATATTACATTTTGGTGTCTCTGGTCAGAACAGAAAACATGTCTTTGTTTGTGGATGATAATTGCATAAATCTGAGGGCTCTCTTTCTGTCCCTTTTGTCTCAAACTTAGCATAATTAGTTACAAATGAACTACTTTTGAGTACTAGCACTTCTAAAGGTGTCCTGAATCTGTAAAAATAGAAACATAGAAACAGACCAAGTCAGAGGGGACCTTGCGGCCAACTAGTCTGACCCCCAGAATAGTGTGTTCCTTGTGAGGAAGAATAGCTCGTGCTTCCATATACCATTCAGTCTTTGAGGTGTCCCTGCAGTTAATCTCTTTCGTGTTAGAGATACAGATGCTAGAACAGGGATAATATGTTTTATAAGACCCGTCCACCCTAACAATCATGCAATTGAGAAACATTACATTTTCAGCTTTAACACTGGTACTAACTGCTACAACCATTTCAATCGGTTCAACACAGTGTAAAATTGAAAACTGGCCTTGAAAACCAATTCTAAAAATACCTTGCATGTTATATTTTTAATGTTTAGTACCGATATTTTCCTTATTTAACATTTTCAGCTAATTCATTGAGTTGGAGAATTCTTCTAAACAAAATTAATCTAGCCAGACCATTCTTAAATTGTCCCTTTTTCATTCTAGTAATTATTTCCAGGGAAAACACATTCTCTTGAGAAAGAAATGACAAAATGAGTTGCCTATCTTCCTTGTTTAAAATGCATGCGTATGTAAATACCCTACATTAGAGAAGGTAAGGAGTGCAGGAAGAAAAGTCCTAAGCAGTCATTAAAAAGTTAAGATGAAAATATGTTCCAGGACCTTATTACTTTTTCTGCTGAAATCAATAGAAAACCCATCCAAAACTGAAAACCTAATTTGAAGAAAGTACATGAACAGTGTTCAGTATTTCCCTTGGCAGATTTGGGTTCATCTAATAGACTTTGTATCCAAGAGAACTGTCCACAATTTCTCTCTCCATATATCACACATACACACACTCTCTCCTTTGAAGTGTGCTAAAGGGAATAAACATTTTTAAAATAAGCTTCAGATGCAACCACAGCATTTCTTCCAGTTATCTGTCTTATGGATTCAGCTCCAGAATTACTTACCCCTTTGCATTGGGGAAGGGTTAGGGACTTAAGGATGCAATGCTATGCCTGTTTAGACAAGGAAAAAATGCCCTACAACTTCCCATGCTGGCTGGGGAATGCTGGTAATTGTAGGACTTTCTGTCCAAATATACATAGGATCGCTTATGGGCCAGGCTGCTGCTAGCTGCCCCAGAGCACTCAAGCGGCCTTTGGAAGTGGCTGTCAGAGTTCTTTGCTTCCACAGCAACCCTTCTGTTGCTTGCTGGGGCAACAGTGAGTGGAGGAGCTGGGGTAACTGCAGCGACTATCCACCAGGCTTCAGTGGTTTCTGCCCCCGAGGATGCATTGTGCCCAAATCAGCTGCCCTGGGAGCAGGCAAGGGAGATGGCAAAAGATGGCCTGGCCGCCAGCTGAGGTGGTGGCATGGAGCAGAGATAGCTTCAACTGGCTGGATTATCAGCTGGCTGAAGTAGTCCTTGCTCCCCTGTCCCACTCTTTGCTGCTACTGCGAGTGTAGGGAGGGGAGAAAAGACTTGCTCATGCGCAGTGCCCTCAGTATTCTCATGGCACGACCAGGGGGAAGGAAGTTCAAGGATTCACAATGCGCCTGATCATGGGTAAGGCCCTGGGGCAAACGATGCACTACAGCAAAGACTGTTGTGCTGTGCAAACTCTTCTTCTGAGTCATTGGCAGATTGATTTTCAATTGTTTAAAATTAGCAATGATGATGCAGATTCTTATTTCTAAATCAAGCTACTGAAATGTATACAGCTAGGGGCCAAGGTATGAACGACAGCAGATATTACATGAAAGAACTGTGTTCAGTTCTTGGATGGAAAGCCAAGTCCTCTGCTATTCATGCACTGGTAGCACTCTTTCCTTAAGTTTTAGCACAGATCCACACCCACAAGCTTCTGTTCTACACTGTGCTTTTGTTTGGAGGGCAACAGCTCAGTCATAGGGTGCATCATGTATGCAGAAGGACTCAGGCTCAGTCGCCAGTATCTCCAAGTATGCCTAGGAATCCTGCCTGAAACCTTGCAGGGATACTGCAGTGAGTATCAGCAACACTGCTCAGTAGGGCAAGGTCGTGGCTTGGCATAAAGCAGCTTCCTTTGTTCGTATGGCTGGCCAAAGAGTCCCAATACAAGGCAGCATCGATCACACAAACCTGAATTCAGGGCATCACCGGTCCAACCTGCAGCTGGCCATATATTTGAGCATCCTTTTAAAATGGGGTAAGCAACTTGCAGGGATCAGGGAGCCATGGTTCGCTTCCCCCACCCCACAAACCCACCAGCAGCTGCAGCTCCCCATTGTCGAGTTTAGCACTGAATTTGCTGTGAAGGCAAAAATTGTACCGATTGCAAAAAAGCAAAGGTAGGCATTGGGTGAACATGAAGGTTATCGTTGTGTTGCCCCTTTCACTCTTCTATTTCCACTGACTCACATTTGTAACAGTTTTCTCATGCCCAGGCACTAATTTTTCTTAGGTTTTGAAATTTTATTTTAGTCAGAAAAGCTTTATGTTTCCCAGATAGTCACAATTCTAACATATTCTAGAAGTTTCAGTGCTTCTTTTTCTTCTCCAAAAACAGTTATATTTCCAGTCTGAACATCTCTCAGAGCCATCCTACTGTACCTCAGGTGGGATTTCTCATAAGAAAAGGGTCCAACTGTAGTTGCCAAATTTAAAGACCCATTTGGACTATACTGTCCAAATGATACCCTGCTATCATCTGGGGACAATTATTGGCTGCACAAGAGTTTTCTGTCCAAGAGCCGTGCTTCCCTTGACCTGAGCCATTATTTCGATTGCTCTGACCCACTTTCCTGCTTCAACACCCTTCCTTTTGCCTTGACTTCATCCCTGCTGTTTTTCCTTTCTCACTTGCTGCACAACCAGCTGTCTTTTCAGGACCTGCACATTCTCAGGGGGTTTAATGAAGAGTGCAGCCTGCAATTGTGCTCATAGATCAGAATAAAAATCCAGTGGAGAATAGATACTTATTTGTCCTTATTAGAGCCTCCTCTAATTATAACTTCCAATGAAAAAATGAATATTCACAGATTATTTTGCTTCAGCACTGTTGACCTCAGTGTGAAGCAGGCTTTAAAAAAGTACCTTGATGTTTGTGTTAATTTATTCTGCAGAATATTATACATCAAAATATACCTCAAAGCTGTTAAATATGCTCTGCATCTTGAAATGTCTTTACTGGCCATAAAACAAATCTACTTTCCATAATTTATATTAACTTCCCAAACACATATTCAAACTAGCTTGAACAACATAGTAATTGCATGCTCCTCAAAATTGCTTTTAAAGTATATTGAGAAATAATTACTATATACACAAACAGTTACATCTTTTTGAAATGTGCTTTAATATGACTGTTCTGCTAATTTACAGTGTTTCACTAGGTTGAGTTAGCGACATATAATGATAACTAATGTGTTTTTAGATGCTACCTAAGTATGAGTTCAAAACATACACCCAACAAACATGCATGCCATTTAGACACTTTGCTTAATGATCTTTCCAAGTAACAGCATTCATTTATTTTTTTTAGGAGGTAGAACTGTTCTCTAGCAACAGCATTCTTAGCATATTTCCTGGAAACATTCATTTCTTAGCATCCCCCACCCCCAACAATCATAGGATTGTTCTGTAAATCATTAACGCAGCAACATGAACAGTGAATGAGCTAACTGGCTCATTTTGGAAATAGGGTGCAGCACCACAATAGATGGCAAAAGAAGAAGGGAACAGCACAGGATGAGGTGGCTAGATGGAGTCACTGAAGCAGTCAAGTGAGCTTAAGTGGACTCCGGAGGATGGTGGAGGACAGGAAGGCCTGGAGGAATGTTGTCCATGGGGTTGCGATGGGTTGGACATGACTTCGCGACTAACAACAACAACCCAAAGATGAATGCATATGAAAGGCATGATGTTATAAAACCCTCAGTGCCGCCACCCTAAAACTCAAGAATGATGGGGCCAACCCAAACCTCTTTGGGAAGGGAGTTCCACAGTTTGCACAGTGGTCAGCATCTTATTGGAATGGGCCAAAAAGAGAGGAACTGTGCCTCTTGTATATTTTCACACATACTGCCTTGTAATTGGTTGGCAAGAAAATCCAGTAGGAGAAACTTCCTCGCTTTTACTTAAAAATATAAGGTATTGTGAATATCACATAAATGTGTCTAAATATGTTTGTTTGTTTGTTTTTAATTACTGTTCTTAGGATTCAGAAGGATAATTGGAATTGAAGGAATCTGGCCCTCACAATGGATCCAACATCAAATGCAGCCATAGAAAACCTTGATTTTCTAGTAGAAGGAGATCAGCCTGAAATTTCTCCTGTGCATACTGGAGATGTCCAAGAGGATACTGCTGCAAGGGAGAATGATCACATTGATGCTGGAAGGAAGCCAATAAGAGAGCCAATTGTGCAAATAACAGATTGGGATCTACAGACTTTATTGAGCCCAGATGAGGAACCGTTAAAGCGCTCAAGGTATCGGATAGGTGGCTCTGCCGATAATATATTATCTTTAACTTCTTACCAATCCCTCCTGCCTCTTGAATGGAAGGTTTTGAGATCTAGTCAGTCACAGGGCACACTGGCAAATCTTTCAGGTGACATTCAAGAAAGCACAGATGGAGGGCATAAGCCAACATCGAGAAATAAGCAAGATGTAGTAGATGATATAATTGGAGATGAAGTCGCTTTCAAAGTATGTACTAATGTGCTTAACTGTAACCCAGGTACTGCTTGCACAATAGACTCCAAAACAGCTTTTCCTATAGTAACTGCTGGATCACCTAGGCCCAGAGATGCAAACTACCCAAAGCAATCTTCAAATGGATTGGTCCCAGGAACAGAGATGCTTCCAGGAGTTGAAATTCAATTCAATCAAGTACATAGTTCAGGTAACCAGGATAATTTCCTCGTGATTTTTGAGTTGCTGTGTGGTTCATCAGTGAAATATCATTCTTCTTTGTGTCCTTTTTTCAGCCATCGATCAACAAGATCCAGGTTTGATTGACCAGCTTTGGACAGCTGCTGCTTCACCAAACAGCTTATACAATACCTCCGCATCAGCAGGCTGGGAAAGCAATTCTAATAATCACGAGGTTAAAAAAAAAAGTTGTGTTATCATTAATGTGGTGTGAATTCTGATATTAGAAATATTTCTGGACTGGAGATTGTTACATTGGTCCAGCATCTTATTTAATTATCATATATACAGAATATATTGGTAATGCAAAATCTTTCATGCAGAGATCATTGGCAAGAGAAGGTGCTGGTACTGAAGAGCATTCAGAATAAACAAACAACTGACTGTGGCAGCTGGGGAAGAAATAAATGAATAAAGCTTTGCAAGCTGATTTTGCATGTCAAACTTCTTTTTAAGGGATAGAAGCAGTCCAGATTGCAGGGGGTGTTGGGAATTGGACTGGTTGGCAGCCCTACTTAGAATCATCAGCTTATGGATTGGTAGTGCAAGTGAAAGAGAGGAGACCAAGAAAGGAGATGGCTCAGCAAATTGAATGGTTTGGAGAAGTTTCCTTTTATTCATTTATTCCTTTTCAGAACTGACTAGCTACTGAAGTTCTGTGGGCAGGTGAATTAAAAATCAGAAATACAAAATCCCAATAAACAATGGTAGTAAAATAACACAAAATCAGTTTCAAGGGGTAAAACAGTGCAGTGCATAATAAATAAGCCACAACAATGAACAGTGCAACAATCTAAAAGTTCTCCAGCAATTCCTTAAATGCCTGTGAGAATAAAAAGGCCTTCACCTGGCACTGAAATCCCCTAGTCTAAGTGCCAACCGAATCTCTCCGGCATGCCATCCCACAGGCAGGGTGCCATTGCTGGTAGATAAAATACTCCAATTATAATTTTATAAAGGTGGCATAGAAGGATGATGGCTGCTGTGTTGGATGTCGTGCCTGGCCCTTGATTCTTTTAAGGCATCTGGAAGGTATAATGATGAATGAAGGCTTGCATTTGGAGAAAGGATAAAGAGGAGCATGTCTCTAGTTTGTCTAGGCCATGACACAAAGCCCAAGCCTAGGAACAGTGGGTGGGGATTGAATAATCTAATGGAAGTCAAAGACACTGTCATTGGCCCATAGTAAACTATTGCATGATTTCAAAAAAAAATATATCAAAGTATCTTTATCCAATTTCTCAGCCAAAAAGCCTTCCAGAGCTGATAGGTTTTTAAAATCCTGCCCATAAGAAGACATGGCACACAAGGAAAAAGGAATGGAATGGGAAGAGGAGAGGTAGATTACTAAAACAAACAAAAAACCTGACATCTGCTTTTGAAATGAGCTAAAAGAACTGATACCATACTGAACAGTAACTGTGATTATGCACTGACAAGATTTCCTTTAAAGTTGTAGTTTTGGATAGATGAATAAGTACCTGAATAAGTAAGCATAGCTGGTGGTTGTGTTATGCTTTCTCAGATGTGAATTGAACTACAGGTTCACGTCTCTTTAATAATCTAAATTACTCTGGGAGAACTACCGATCACTGGTTCCAATACTCTAGACAGTGGCAAGATTAAAGGCTTTAGTAAACTGAGAATTCATCAGGAAGCTGCTTTACCACAGTCTCCTAAGATGCTACCAGTGGTCTCAGCCTGGGCCATGTCCAGCACCTACTTTCTTCATGGTCTCTGTGCATCATATCCGTGGACTCTGCACTTGCACAACCTCTTGTTCAGGAAACTCCTCTAGCTGAGGAATTTTGAAAGGGACCCTTTCCCCACCATTATGTATATCCATGTGGGCCCTCAGTTCCTCTTTGACAACCATTGTGGTTACTTTGTCAGGAACTTTTTTCATTATTAGTGAAGGTTACTCTGTTTGTTTCTGTCTCTCCTTAAGTACTCCTTTACTTTTTTAAAGTTGCTTTCTTTATTTGCAACTGCAGGATTACATTTAAACTGAAAGGTTTATGGCCTTCACACCCCATTTTGGAAGTATGAAAAGGCCAGACGCACCAATACCAGATGCCTCCTCCTCCTCCTCCACTGCTCAGCACATTGATCCCAAGCTCTGTATTGAAACCAAGTCAAGACCAAGCATTGCAGGCGTGAATCTCAGAAGGCTGAAAAACTGAGACCCAATTCTACAGTGGGAGCAAGGCCTGTCAGGAGCCTCTCCTTCCCCTTTGGGTGTGTTCTGCTCTTCTGTGGTATGGATGTCAGATGTGAGCAGGATTAATAGATGAGACTACACCTTTAGTCATCATGACACCCCCTTCCTATTCCCCATCTTCTGACTCTGGCAGGTAATCTGAGTGGGCTTTACCATCTCAATCATCATCCACCTTTTATTAGGATGATTAGCAATTTTGCCCACCAAGCAACACCTCTTATGACGGAGGGAGAGGTCTCCTCTCAGCATGTAAAAAGCCTTCTACTGCTGTCAGACTCCCATCAGTGTTGACTGAATTTCAACTGTTGCCAGCCCTGCCACTGAAGACCTTGCAACTGATACAGACTAGGCCTCCAGTGTCCTTTCTGAGGAATTCTCCTTGACAAGAATACCACTCCTGATCACTTCCAGTACCTTCAGCTGTAGCTGAGAAGCATCCAAGAAACTCCTCCCTCTCTGGCAGATAACTACTGTTTCAAACCTCAGTACCATCATTGTCACTTGCCACTTCAGTGACTTCCCCTGATGCAGCCATGGGTACCAGAAGCTCTGCTTCACCATTGGAAGAAATGGGTCACTTTTTCGAACAAATGTTTTAGATGGCACATCCACTTGGGCTGGAAACCCAGCAGCCAATACTGAGGATTAATGATGCTGTTTATCTAGAGGTAGCAATGAAAATTTACTTTCTCCTTACTCTTCACATGGCACAATAGTCATGGAAGGTATCCAACCTTGAAAGGTCTGGAAAGCATGTACAAAGTGCAGAAACAAAATGAAAAGTACCCATGGCTATCATCTCTGATTCTGCTCCAGGTCAGTCTCAAAAACATTCTTTATTGGTTTATAAGGAGGATTGATGCTTGAATGAGATGGGAGTTATTCCTTAGCAACACTTGGTGTCTAAATTGCTAATTATCAGGTGACAATGTTGAAATACCAACTGTTCCACTGGGAGAAGATGCAGTTGCTTTGCAACTCTCTCTCTCTGATTATCATTCTGGTTGGGATGTTTCAGGCAAAAGCACTGACATTTTCAAGCAACAGGTAAACATGGTACATCACCAGGCTGTCTGTAATGTGAAGGTGATGATTAAGATCAGCCAGATTATCACAAGATGTAAGATAAAGAATTGAGAACCTACCTTGTGATGGAGAAGGACTCCTCAGTTCCAAAACAGGTGCGGTTATGGACTCAAGTGGAAAATGCCAAGACAATGTGAGAAAAATGGGTTTAGAACAGCTTTCACATTACCACCTCTAGACTCACCAGCAGCCTTCCCAGATCCACAGAGACAGTTTCACCCATCCATCTCTCACATACCAAAGGGATTCACCCACCCTCTTGGAATCAACCTTGCAAAGGGAAAGGAGATTCTATGGGCAAGTGGCAACTCTGATGCAATTGTTTCATCAGACTTCTGGATCAACCCCTCCCACCTTTAAGTGTCATTCATGCCACATTGTCCTCCAATGTGTTCCAAGCAGATGGATTCTGAACCTCAAGGAAGTTAAGGTTTACACCACTCCCAGGGATTTCAAGGACCAGCCTGTAGCAGATAGATCTGAATCAGGCACCCTTGTGCAGAAACAAAACTATTGGGCTAAAAGATGCATATGAACCACTGGAAGAGCCAGCACTTCCTCATGGCCAGAGTGGGACAAGACATGACCAATTCAGGATCATGCAGTTTGGTCTATCAACCTTTGGTCTATCAAAGAGTATATTTGCAAAGTGCATAGTTGTATGTACTCATATTTGAACTCAAGGCATTAAATTTTCCAGTACCCGGATGAATGATTTCTGGCAGATTGCATGGAAGAAGATCTTCATTGTGTTCTTGTTGCCAAATTTTCCTTCTTGAGGTGATTTGAGTACTATGTGAGCATAGAAGAATTGGTACTGGCTCCTATAAGAACTATCTAATTTACTGGAACCATACTCAGTGCTTGTATCAGACTGCCCTACCTCCTACCAGAACAGGTTTGGCAGGATTCACCCTATTAAACAAAATTTACAGGAACAATCAGATCACTGCTTTCAGTATTCAAAGACTTTGGGACTAACAGTGTCAACAGTATCAGTTGTTGCCTTTACCCAAGTTCAAGTGGATCTTCAGACTGGATGACAAAGAGTGTTTTGACACAGTTCATGGCACCCATCAAACCTGCCTATGAGGGAACCAGAACTAAAGTCATGCCTGCTTTGATGGATGACCACCAATCATTTTACTGAAGGACTACCAGTCTCTCTTCTGACAACAGCAGTGACATTCCTTTTACAGATGAGTCACTTTTCAGATGGGGAGCATATTATGGTTCAGTGGCAGTGCAAGAGCTTTGACATGCAGGAGAACAATTACATCACATCAGTTACTCTCAGTGGTTTGGAAGGCACTGAGTTCTTTTGAACCACATTTGGCACATCAGCAGCTACAGATGATTATGGACAATACTAGGGTCACAACGTACTTGAACAAGCAGAGTGGAACCAGGTCCAACCTCCTAATCCACTTGATCCTCTGAATGTTCCAATGGGTGGTTATCAAGGGATATAACATTTACTTCAACACACATCACGGGCAATGACGGTGTTTGGGCAGATTCTGAGCAGGGCTCTTAAACATGTATTTTTGGAATGGCTCCTCAAATTTTGTGATTCAACCAATGTAGACCTGTTCGCTAGAGCACATAATGTGGTATCCCAGAGGTTTTGCTTCAGAACTGGGCAGGTTTCTTGGGAGATACATTTGCCATCCAGTGGAAGCTGGCATTCTACCTTTTCCCTTTCATCACCAGGTTCCTTGCTGGAGAACCTGAACTTTATCAACAGTGTTCAACAGAGGCCATAGTTTGGCATAGTCTTCATCATTTCTGCATGGATGCTGGGGAGAATATTGTAATTTTGCATCTACACCAACCCTCCTCACTTGGGATTGGGATTGATTCTGATA